GATGCTCTGTACTGAGGTGCTTCTTAGCCAGATTGGCCCAGAGGAAACGCACAGAAGTAACAGCCAAGCCATACGGGATCATGCTGGCTTCTTGGTTCTTCCCTAATGACAGATCCATAGCTATTGGGGCCAGAATAGGCGACTGCAACCATTTCATCTGACCTTTCATTAAGGAATTCAGGAATCACAGAGGAGGCCGAGATCAACCATTACTCAGTCAGAAAGGATTAGAACAATTTAGGAAAAAAAAAAACCCAAATCGGAAGATCTGGCTGGAAATCTGCAAAGCCAACACCTGTGCTGCAGACACTTGTAGGTGCCTTCGTGTCCTTTAACCCTGACAAATAAGCAAGCGCCTTCTCTACGTCACTGTCTAAAACATTTTGTGTGCTCTACAAGTGAAAAACGGTACTAACAGCATCCCACCCATTCGGCTACGCTGTACCGAGCCGGAGAGTAACAGCCGAGTGTTTCTTACTAGGCACAGAGGTCAAGACTTAAATTGCATAATACATATTTTCTTGTGGATGCCCCATCCCTGGAAGTGTTCAAGGCCAGGCTGGATGAGGCTTGGAGCAACCTGGTCTAGTGGAAGGTGTCCCTGCCCACGGCAGGGGGGTTGGAACTGGATGATCTTTAAGGTCCCTTCCAACCCAAACCCACTCTGTGATTCTTTTTCCCATTTAGTTTCTCGATTAAAGCAACAATCACCCCCAAACACAAGCAGCTCCCGCTGGCTGCCCGGGACCGAACCGTGGAGAACCGATCAGGCCCCCGCGCTTCACGCCGCGATGCTCACCCAGATACATCAGGACAATGACTCTGCCTCTCTCCAGCTTGTCGCAGATCACTGCTGCTATCACATCCCTTCTGGCTGCCGCCTTGATTTTTTCAGCAAAACTGCAATCGCCGCTCTTCATCAGCGCTATCCAGGGCCATTTTGTGATGGTGAACGACGTGTTTGCGTTGAAGGCTTGACAATCAGCAGATTGTGGGACACCCCCGAGCCCCCGAGCGCTAAGCAGGGAGGAGTTTAGTCCGTACAGGCTACATTTGCACTGCTCGGACACAGACCACTTGCTAGTGCTGTTGAAACGGGGCGAACTGACAGAGGGGCTGACAGAGAACATGTCTGCCGTACTGAATAAATTAAAAAAAATGACCATGCAGAAATAAAATCTGATGCCACCCACTTTCCTCATTGCTTACTCGCGTGAGCACAAAACACAGACGTCTGCAGTTATTTTCGGCAGGTGGCAACTGTTGTTAGCCCACAACCTGCCGAGGAGTGTGAAATTTCAGTTCCAACAGGAACTCGACACCACTCAGGTAAGTCCTGGAGGTGTCGGGTCGGGAGCGGGGACAGGACAGAAGTGACACCCCGCCGACTGAGCGGGGCTGCGGAATGAGGCACCTTCAGCCCTAACTTTCCACTTTTTCACCACTCTTCGTCTGCTCCTACTCCTGCTCAAATTCTACCTCTGACGATGCTTCCCAAGGGACCACTGAAGCCCTCTGCTCCTGCTCCAGCCTGAAGGCCACTTTAGAGGAACAGGTGACCAGGGCGGATCTCCTACCTCACAATG